ACCATTATCTACGCTATTCATCGCGAACCATGCCTCAGGAATGGAAGCGATGGATCAATCAATTTCCTTTGGGATGCGCTGCGCATGCTGCTTCTGTTCGGAATTTTTAGAGTCGATCCAAGGCTCCTTGTGCGGCGCACGTGTCATGACGCGCTTCTTGCCACTGCATCACTTTCTTTACATTCGCTTTAGATGCTCTCAAAGAGTGTAGATGTTCCTAATGTTACTAGCCAATGAAGACAACAAGGCATTTCGGCTGGTGATCATTTGAAATGAAGCGTTCTTCCCTGCTTCAAGGCTGAAGTTCAGGGCGTACTTGGCAATTATTGGGCCCACTTCATGTAAGCTTTCATCGAGAACGCTGAACACTAGAATTCAAGAGCTACCTGTCCCTGTTAGACATTTATGGGAAAGTCATTCAACTCTAAACAAATGGAAGGTTTGTTCTGTATGGACTTGGCCTTATGGAAGTAGTACGTGTATGTGGTGTTTCGACTATTAGAACCTTCGCTTTCCCTCGAGTGATTTCACAGCTGACCCGGCTGCAAACCTGAGAAGGTGCGATGATTTGAAGGCTCGGTCAGCGATCCGGTATAGAAGTTTTGAATATTGTGTGAGGGTAGTGTGGCTGCGAGGAACAACCTTTTACCGGTTTTGCTGCAATGAACCGTAAGGGAGGGGCTCTATAGCGCAATAGAGGCAATAATAGAGGCATGACGGCGTAATGTTGGAGATGGAGTTCATTGGCCCGTACAAAGTGGGATCGAAACGGGGATCTATCTAGGGCAGGTGGCCACTTTTTTCCTGCCTTTTTCTTCACTATCGAGTTACTCAGCACCTTGTCGTCTATATGCGAACCCCTAATCCACTATCTGTGATGGCGAATGATCGCGGGTTTTGCCTTTAAGGAAATACTCAGCTTATGTAGTGCGGATTGCGCAGTTTTGCTACGAGCTCACGACTAGGCATTACATACCGAAGCTTAGTAGCTTCAGACATTGTAGAAGTAGATTCAAGATGTGCGACTCTTGTCGAATAGAGAGTCATTGAATCGTAATAAATCCCCAAAAATAGCGCAGAGGATGGTTCCCCTGGGCACCCTATCCTTGAGGCTAATGAAACATTTATGCTTTTCTTTATAAAGGGAGAGATTTCAAAAGTGAGCATTTTTTGTAGCCTTCACAGTAAATTTATCTCCATTAAAAGGATGAAAGCGCACATGTCCTCACGGATGCTCAAAGCATTCTATTCCGAACTACAATAACTCGAAATCCCTGAGATGAGGTAGGCGTGGCTGCGTACTTCAACTAAACGTCGTGGTGGCTATGCTTTTGGAGAGATATTTTCATTTTGACCCAAATGTGGTCACGTCTCTGTCCAACAAAGAACAAGATGGCGGTTGTCTCAAATTGAAATATCCCACGAGTAACCAGTTCTGTGCCATGTTCGAATGCCACGACACCAATTTTGTGCCATGTTCGAATGCCACGACTACCTCTCCCTCTCTGTTCCCAGGGATAAGAAGTATACATATGTATGTCCTTGCCCGTAGATCTTGCGCGGCTAGGCGGTGTAAAAGTCAGACTTTTTGTTCGCACAGACGATTCTGGCACCAATTTTCCAAAAAATCAAGTTTGGATCCCCTCGGAGTGATTTTACCTTCGAGAAACGTGATAGACTGCAGCTCCGTCTTTGGTTCTTGTTTCCACTTTTCCCTGGAAACTTGCCATTTTAGCCGTCTCAATTAGGCTGTACTTTAGCATGATCACAATCCAGTAATATCACAAATTTCAGAAAAACCCACAGAAATGACAAACATGGCGGAAGCTAGTGAAGTTCGTTGCGTGGTGATAGGCGATTCAGCCAGTGGGAAGGAGATGATGCTCAAAAAATACGCGTGCTATTCTGGTGTTCCTTACGACATCACGGTACGTTTCTGTGCTATACATTGTCGCCCCGTCCGGTTTGTCTCACGAACCATGCACCGCATTTCAGAATGGACGATTGGTGACTGCGTTCAATGGCCACAAGTGCGTCTTTCTAGACTCAGCCCAAGTGAATGATGATGAGCCTGTGCATGTCTTTCTTCTCTGCGTGTCAGTTGCTCGGCAAGCCATTGTTGAGGAAACGGCGAGAGTGGTATGAATGGTCGATACTCTAGTTCTTGAAGTCAATAAATGGAAATTTCGTTGTGAATGTTCAGATACTGAATACCGTACTTGACCGTATTCATGCGGTGCCGTTCGTCCTTATCGGAACGCAAATTGAGAAGCGCCTTCTAATTAACTTCAACAACATCAACGGTTACTGTAACGAGGCGAGCTATCTACCTATGCCGCTCCATCGTGCTGAGAAGTTCGCAAAGCAGATTGGCGCCAGCAAATATCTCGAGTGCTCGGAGGTTACCGGGGTGAGTCAGCTCACGCTACACGTGACATCCACGTGTAGCGAAGAATTTTTCCTGAGGCGAAGGGAATGAACTTTTCTTCCGTGATTAACCCGTTCCGGACCGCGTGACATGCATGGTGTGTCACACATCTTTCTCCCTGCGCCATTTCATATAGTCCGGTTGGCATCTCATTCATGCGAGGAAGTTATCAGAACATATTTTCTAGGCGCATACATCATAGGAAAGTGAAAGAAACAGATGAAATTACTGATTATCGATTTGAAAATTGACGAAATGATGCGGAGATTTTTGGCCAACAACGGTCCGGAATGTGTTAAAGAAGAGGCATTTGAGTTGGAGAACGGCTGAATTTTGTCATAGTTCTTTTTTAAACCTTTCGTCACTAGCCGTATTTCAGGAAGGTCTTGAAGAGGTTTTCGAGGAGGCGTTTGAAATCGGTCGTGCTCACGCGTTGGAAAAACTGAAAGGATCGAGCCGACGGAAGTCTTTAATGGGAACAGCGCGTATGAAGAAGATTGAGGGTTGTATCACTCAGTAAATTCCTTGTTTGTATTACATGTATAGCCTTGATCACAGCTTTTTGATCTCCCCACATCATTTTTCTAACGCATTCGGCCAACAAAAGGCGTTGAATACAGAGTCCGCGCTCACCAATTCAATTCCTTCTGCGCCCAAGTGGTCTAGTACGTATTCGCAGAGACGCTGCCCCACTTCCGCCACAATGAGCGATAAGGGCAGGGCAAATCATTGGTTGGGGATTTTTGTCGAGTCGTGCAACCCAGATTTTTTTAGCGGGTCGGTACGACCTCTCCTGGTTCCTTCCTCATCGAGCTGTCGTCGAGCAGGGAGAGGGGGGGGGGGTTCGTATGAAACTGTAACGTATGAAAGGAAGAAAGCGATTCCTTCTCACCCCACAATGAGCAAATACGTCCTCCACCTCTCCCAGCGACCGAATATGACCATCCCTCCTGTTGGGAGATTCTCAACAACGATGTGCCCTGGATAAGGGTACCGCGGCCATTACAAGTTGTAGCTATATACGGTGCGTACAGTAAGCTGTGATGGTCGCATAGGCAGCGTTCAGACTTCGCGACGGCAGCGCTTCGATCGTGCGCGATCGATGCGCATGCTTTCGACTGCATCGATCGCGTCAAACGCGCGACCGAGCGCTGCCGTCGCGAAGTCCGAACGCTGCCGTAGCGAAACAGTCCTTGCGGTTACGCGCCGGACTTCTTGGACAAGGAAAGCACCACGGATTGGTCGAGCGCGAGGTCTCTCGTCAACGTTTTCACCATTTCGCTGTACATTTGCTCGGGAGATGCCTCTCCTCTGTCACAATTACTTTTTACATATCGTACTATTTGTTCCACCTGTTTCTGTTGATAGCTACAAAAACTAGATAGATTATTGTTGGAAGATAGATAGAAATCATTTGCCATCTGCTATTTATTCATTTGCTATCTGATCGATTCCTATGGCAATCGTCAAGTTGTATGGTCGTTTTCGCTGCGAACGCTGGGGCGTGGGCTAGGGTGGGCCAAGTTTGGCGTGGTGCTAGCCGTTTCCACCTATTGTTGTCGCTTGCCCACTTCAACAGTTGATGGAATGCGGATAGACGCCGCCTCAAACCGAGGACTCGACGTTTGCAGCTGAAATGACTGGGAGAAAAATGCATTTGTATCTAATCTTCAACAACATATCCTTTCTCACATGCCTTGTTGGTAGGACCAGTGTGGCTCCACTCACTGCCGCGTGCACTAAATGTGGCATCAATAAAATAGGCTTCTCACCAGACATTAGCTGTTTCGTTCTTTAGGTGAAAGGCAAAAGCTTTCCAGGATTTCTCAGCGTATTTTAATGAACTTTCACCATTCGGTAGAAGTTCGGATGGTTCTAATGATCTGATATGTTTCGACGCAAATTTTATAGCGACAGAAGTCGAATTGTTTACTTACTGGGAGTTTTATGGATGATTCAGTACAGCATCGGCAGGTCCTTCCGTCTTTCGTTACAGAGAGGAGAGCTTGGCATAAACTGCGACCTCAGCCTTATGCATGACGAAGCTCCCATTGAACAGTATCGCATAATATCCAACACTTTGAAGGCCATCGATGTTTTAGCGGTCGAATCGCTGCAGATCCAAATAAAAAGGGAGCGAAAATAAATATCTTTTTTCACTCAAAGTGGCATGGCAGTACTCCGGTACCCATCATGTGTTACAGCAGAGAAGGTCTCAATATTTACTATTAGGTCATCCCATTCAAACGTGCCGCTGGTTTTTTTAAAACAAAGAGGAGAATAGAAAAGTGATATTTTAGCTTTAGGATGAGTAAATCCCTCCTTCACCAATGACCCGCTCCCAGTGCCCCGAGGGCCTTTGGACCTCTGGTACCTTCGATTTTTCAATAAGTGTGGGCTTTATGACGGGCGAATGGGGCGATTGAACCCAGGTCTCAGTATTGTTTGTGTCCCAGCACTGCCCTACAATACAGTTACTCGGGGTCTGGTACTATGACGAGCAACGGTGGCCTTCTTGTAGTTGTGTGGTAGCATCCATTTGTCGATCTGAATGCCGAGGAACAGGCAATATGCACCGACAGTGACGGATTTGTTCTCTGTATAGAGCCGCTTGAAAGCCACAGTGTGAATCCTTTGCTATGATGATCATCCACTTGCGCCCACGTAACTCCTCATGGTAGAACTCGGGCGGCTTCTCATCTGCATTCATACAAAATTGACGATTGTGAGTTTCGGCTCGAGGTCCGAGACCACCCATATTTCATCTAAGGCCTGGGTGCGTTTTCACAGTTGTGAGTGACATCTCATGCTGAGAACATTACTGCTAGAGGTATAGAATCGGTACTGCGTTCGTGCTTCTATAAGAAAATTAGGTACCCATGCGCCACCCTCTTGACCATCCTCAGTTTATCGGACATAACTCGGGCAGCAGTTGCAGCTGGGATGTCAGACTCGCGGGGAAGCTCGACAAGGGTCCAGGCTCTGTGATCAGATATTCAGTGCCTGACTTCATCCACCCGTTTTTCTTGTGCAGGATGAATATTATGGGACCATCCACGACAACAAATTTTTTCCTTTCTTCCTTGTACGGGCTCCTGAACCAAATCTTCCACCGTGTATTTCGAGAACACCCTTACACACAACTATGGTCCGGCGCAGGTCAAATTTGAGCAGCGCACTTTCCTTTTATGACGTCTGATTTGAAAAACCGGCGCCGATTTTCACCACTCGGGCTTCTCTTCAATTTCTCGAGAACTTCTTCAGAGGCTAGGTTCGCCAAATTTCACAGATACACAGCTTAAGGTACTAGCTTCCAAATGGTATAGTAGCCCGCTGCTCTATCCCCTTTGCTTTTCTGCCATTCCTCTATATGTAGCGGCACGTTTGAATGGGATGACCTAATATTCATGCAAGTTTCATACGACCTGCCTCCCTTTACACGAGCAGAATCGAGTTTGACTACTATATTGATATTAGCTTACAAAAGAAAGGCCTGCGACACTTTGTTTCAATTGTTCTGGAGAAAAACCAAAAAACGTCTTAAACGTTTTCACCGTGACTGGTGGAAATTCGCTCTCTGAGATTTTTGCAGACGGTTAGATTTGGCTCTGTGGAAGCTTCCAGAGCTTAGAAGTTCCTGAAGGACAAATTAATGTTCGACTTATCCATATTATGAGTTTCCATATGTACCCTCGTCATCCGGGCAGTTGATTAGGGCGGTCGTCAACGGGCCGCAGCGCGTGCCAGGAACTATTTGCTTTTTCCAGGCTAATTTAGTCATTTTTTCCAACTTTTCACTGTTTTGGCTACTTTTTCCCAGATTAGCAGCTCCTTATCTTCACAAGGTGGAAAAAATGACTAAATTAGCCTGGAAAAAGCAAATAGTTCCTGGCACGCGCTGCGGCCCGTTGACGACCGCCCTAATCAACTGCCCGGATGACGAGGTTATAATTGGTGTCCTTGCGAGAGATGTAACACCTACGTTGGCCTGCACAATCTGTTGACTGGAAGGGGGGCGGGGTATTTTGCGCCTTCCGGCCACTTTCCATATACAGGGGGGCCAAAAAAAAGTCATTTTGCCTCCATGACTTTCAAGGCGCTATAAGTTACACTTTATTAAATTTTTATCGGACATTTTTACTACCATATTAAAGAGCACATTAAATACTATAATGATACTCCGCCACAGCCTTCTGGAGGAGCGCCATCGAGAGATTCTGGCACGCAACCGCGATGTGGTCCCTGAGATCAGCGAGATAGTCGATTTCTCCGCCACCGTAGACCACCCTATTGAACTCCGCCCGAACCGAGTAATTGAGGGGGTTTAGTTCAGGACCCCCGCTTAAATACTCCATCTTTTCCAGGTACTCAACGTTCTTCCATTCCAAGTAGGCGAAAGTTTTTCCAACGCCCTTCGATTCCACGTGTGGCACCCAATGCTGTAGCAGTACAAAGTTTCCAAGAAGGTACGGGCGACCACATGTAGGGAGGATATTCTTCTCGAGTTACTTGATGTAACCGCCAGCGCTCACCTTCAGTCCGGGTCTACAAAGAAAATATCGGTCTTCCCATTCCAGGTACCCCGGTCCATACCATCACTCGCGCCTCGGCGACTACGGTGAAGATGATGTCCTAGACCGTAGCGACGTTGCCGGAGCTGCTCGATGTTTGAGGTCTTGCAGATCAAGAGTACTGGTCTCCAGGTAGCTATCCATGGGTGATTCCATTCAAGAAGTTCCGCAGCTGTTTGGAGGCCACGTGAATTCCAAAGGCGTTCTCCACTCAGGCCGCGACTGGAGATGACTTCATATTTTGGTGTACATGAAGGTGAATGGCGGCAGCCGGCTCCTGCTTATAGAGGAAGATCTTGGGTATCTTCCGCCTGGTACTCATATCCACTTCCTCTGTCTGGGCTGCGAAAACTTCGCTCATATGTGACTCGGCCGGAATGACTTTTTTTGCCCCCCCTGTAGACAGCCTCTTCTCGAGTTGACAGGTTTAACATGATGGCTTGACTACCTTGTTCCAGCTTCACAAGAGTTCACAGGTTTCGCCAGAGTGAGACATGTAAACCGGAACTGAGGAAGCAATGATAGTACAAAATGCCCCCTCCCGTCGACCAACAGCGCCTACGTTTGCCTTTGGGAAGGATGTCGCCTGCCATGGCACAGGATCCCGTTTGTACCAGCGCCTGGAATCTGGGAGTCATTTATTCGAAGGTAGACAACGGTGTAAGACGCCCACCGGGCAGGGGGGAAGGGGGACGGAACACTGGCTGAGTTGTCACCTTCTCTTGCTCTAAATGGGACATTTTTCTGCGTTATTCGTGGTCGGTAATAAGAGCTGGCTTTTCTGCGTGAGCCATACACATAACCTTCACAGGAACTCTCAAGAAGAGTCGCTGAGTTAAAGGCAGACATGAATGGGAAAAAGATTCGCGCTATGTCCTTGGTTCGTGGGGACTTCAAAGCGATGCCGCTGTGAACTGAGCGAGCTAGTGTCAGAAATTCTTTTCCTCTG